CCCGGCCAGGCTGGTCCGCCGAGCTCCCTGCCACGCCCCTGGGGCCTTTCTGGGGCGCTGGGGGATCTGCTGGGGGTCTGAGAGACGAGAGCTTTCGCTTCGTGTCCGGCCCTGGGGGCGGTCGATGGCGCGGGCTCGTCTCTTGCTCAGGGGAGGTGTCCCTGGGCTCGAAGGGGGGCGCAGCCCTTTCTCGGGGGGCTTTCAGCTGCCGTTCGCCCGGGGAAGAGGCCTGAGCCCCTCCTGGCTTGCTCCTGCATTGCCCAGGGCGAGGGGAGCGAGCCCCGGTCCTGTGCGCTCCTGAGGTGCTGCCCCACACCCCTGCCCACGTGCGCTCTCAGTGAGGCCGCGGCGTGGGCCTGCCCGCTCGCGTTGCTGCGTTAGTGGGTCACGACGCACGTGGCCGGGACAGCCTGGAGCACGAATCGGTGCCTGCGGGCGACCGGGCCCCGGGCTGCCTTGCCCCGCGTGGCCGTAACGGGGCCGTGGCCTCCCCTTCCTCGCCAGCCCCAGGAGGACGTGAGCGCGGTGTCCTGGAACCGCCAGGTGCAGCACATCCTGTCCTCCGCGCACCCCAGCGGGAAGGCCGTGGTGTGGGACCTCCGTAAGAACGAGCCCATCATCAAAGTCAGCGACCACAGCGGCAGAGTGAGTGGGGCCGGGCCGCGGGCTGTGGGGCACCAGCCGGGGATGCTGGGGGGTAGCCCCACAGCAAGCGAGCTGCAGCACCCGCCCTTCCCGGGGAGGCACCCTTGCGGGGGGATGGGGTGTGCCAGGGAAGGCCGTCGAGGCCCAGTCTGTCGGCGCAGAGGAGGTGCAGCCGAGCGTCTGCTGTGTCCTCCCCCCTTGCTGTTCCCAGCGTCTCTGGGGAGGCAGAGCCAGGCTCGCTGCGTCCGGCCCAGCTCTGTGACCTTGCTGGGCTGAGCTGTGCGCCGTGGGGTCTCCTCTCCGAGGCAGAGGAGGAACCTGGTCCCGGGGCCGGGCTCGGGAGGTGGCCCCTGGCTGGGATCCAGCCCCCCGGGGGGCGGCAGGGGGCCTAGGTGGCCCCTGGCTGGGATCCAGCCCCCCGGGGGGCGGCAGGGGGCCTAGGTGGCCCCTGGCTGGGATCCAGCCCCCCGGGGGGCGGCAGGGGGCCTAGGTGGCCCCTGGCTGGGATCCAGCCCCCCGGGGGGCGGCAGGGGGCCTAGGTGGCCCCTGGCTGGGATCCAGCCCCCCGGGGGGCGGCAGGGGGCCTAGGTGGCCCCTGGCTGGGATCCAGCCCCCCGGGGGGCGGCAGGGGGCCTAGGTGGCCCCTGGCTGGGATCCAGCCCCCCGGGGGGCGGCAGGGGGCCTAGGTGGCCCCTGGCTGGGATCCAGCCCCCCGGGGGGCGGCAGGGGGCCTAGGTGGCCCCTGGCTGGGATCCAGCCCCCCGGGGGGCGGCAGGGGGCCTAGGTGGCCCCTGGCTGGGATCCAGCCCCCCGGGGGGCGGCAGGGGGCCTAGGTGGCCCCTGGCTGGGATCCAGCCCCCCGGGGGGCGGCAGGGGGCCTAGGTGGCCCCTGGCTGGGATCCAGCCCCCCGGGGGGCGGCAGGGGGCCTAGGTGGCCCCTGGCTGGGATCCAGCCCCCCGGGGGGCGGCAGGGGGCCTAGGTGGCCCCTGGCTGGGATCCAGCCCCCCGGGGGGCGGCAGGGGGCCTAGGTGGCCCCTGGCTGGGATCCAGCCCCCCGGGGGGCGGCAGGGGGCCTAGGTGGCCCCTGGCTGGGATCCAGCCCCCCGGGGGGCGGCAGGGGGCCTAGGTGGCCCCTGGCTGGGATCCAGCCCCCCGGGGGGCGGCAGGGGGCCTAGGTGGCCCCTGGCTGGGATCCAGCCCCCCGGGGGGCGGCAGGGGGCCTAGGTGGCCCCTGGCTGGGATCCAGCCCCCCGGGGGGCGGCAGGGGGCCTAGGTGGCCCCTGGCTGGGATCCAGCCCCCCGGGGGGCGGCAGGGGGCCTAGGTGGCCCCTGGCTGGGATCCAGCCCCCCGGGGGGCGGCAGGGGGCCTAGGTGGCCCCTGGCTGGGATCCAGCCCCCCGGGGGGCGGCAGGGGGCCTAGGTGGCCCCTGGCTGGGATCCAGCCCCCCGGGGGGCGGCAGGGGGCCTAGGTGGCCCCTGGCTGGGATCCAGCCCCCCGGGGGGCGGCAGGGGGCCTAGGTGGCCCCTGGCTGGGATCCAGCCCCCCGGGGGGCGGCAGGGGGCCTAGGTGGCCCCTGGCTGGGATCCAGCCCCCCGGGGGGCGGCAGGGGGCCTAGGTGGCCCCTGGCTGGGATCCAGCCCCCCGGGGGGCGGCAGGGGGCCTAGGTGGCCCCTGGCTGGGATCCTCCCCCAGGCTTATCTCTTCTGGGGTGTCTCCCTCCCTTGGGGCGGCGGGTGAAGGAGCAGTGTGGCCGTGTAGGCGAGGAGAGTGCCCTAGGCTGCGTGCCCAGCCATGCTCCCGCGTCCGCCCTGGCTGTGCGGCGGAGTGGGCGGCGAGGCGCTGCAGGCGTGGGGCCGCCCTACGACCAGTGAAAACAGTGACGCTGCGGGTGCCCGTCCAGACGGATTTCCCGCGGGGCCGGCTGCTGTGAGCGATCGTGGCGCCAGCGTGGCCCGGGCACAGGCAGTGAGTGCGACAGGCCCGCCGTGCGCAGGCGACTGCTCCTTCTAACGCTCTCCCCCACCTGGGCCAGGTGGTTTACGAGCTGCCCATCCAGAGCCAGTGGTGCTTTGACGTCCAGTGGTGCCCGCGCAATCCGTCCGTCTTCTCCGCTGCCTCGTTCGACGGTGGCTCGTGTCCAGCCTGCCCCTTGTCCTGGGGCCCCGCCGCTGACGGACAGAAACGTGACTCGGTATCTTAGCGGTGTCACAAAATAAAATGGAGCCCCGAGGTTGCAGGTCAGCTAGCACCGGGGTCCGGCCCCGAGGGGCGGGTTGGCGTTCGGTGCTGAAGCCATGCGTGGGTGTGCCTCAGTCGCTCAGCAGCTCTTACGAATGCTGGGCCAGGCTCTGAGGAGGCGGCTGGAACCCCGACCGAAGAGCTTTACCCAGGGCAGCCCAGCGGTGTCACAAAATAAAATGGAGCCCCGAGGTTGCAGGTCAGCTAGCACCGGGGTCCGGCCCCGAGGGGCGGGTTGGCGTTCGGTGCTGAAGCCATGCGTGGGTGTGCCTCAGTCGCTCAGCAGCTCTTACGAATGCTGGGCCAGGCTCTGAGGAGGCGGCTGGAACCCCGACCGAAGAGCTTTACCCAGGGCAGCCCAGTGTGTCCTTGGAGCAGGGTCAGTGTTGGGTGCTAAACCCAAACTCCCCTCCGCTGCAGGCAGGGCAGCCTGTGAGCCAGGCCCAACGCTTCCTCCTCGCGCGCCCGGTCTGCCTGCCCCGTGGGCCTCGAGTGCTGTGAAACCCGCCCGGGCCCCCT